CACTAGGCCAACAAGAATGGCATTCCATCCTCCCCACCCTGCCCCAGCACAGCCTTCCAGGGGCCTGCTCCACACTGAACTCCTCCATTCTCCCATTCTGGTTTTAATTGCTCTTTGTTTTTCAAGGCATCCGTGTCTGATGTTGCTTGTTTAGCAAGTTAACCACTGGACTTCTGCTTTAATCCAAAGAGTATGTGATGGTTTGGGAAGTGCCTCTCATGTGCCTGGCGTCTCGGGCTGCACTATGGGCCATCAGGTGCTCTTTCCGAGAGTTTTGACGAGGGGTGTGAGGAAGTAGACAGGAGCCCGTGGGATAAGAGCTGCACTGAGACACTGGGTAAGGTGTTCACACTCCTTACCTGGACTGTTTAACGCTCGGTCACCATCAGCTGATAGAAGGCTCGGTGTGGATCCGAAAGTATGGTGAGAAAGCCACCAAGCACTTGACTGAGTCACACTGCTGTTTGTGGGATCGAAGCCAGCAGAGCAGGCTAGTGTGTCATGGAGGGTGTTTAGGAATCACCCAGCAGGCGGCAGAAGGTGCATGAGAAGCTCTAGCAACTGAATTCTGGCTTTGTCTTACCTTATCCATCTTTAAAAAAATGTTAAGTGTGTGCAGGTATGTCTGTGTGGGGGGGTATGTACATATATATGGTTCTATATATAATACATACACGTTATTATGTGTGAATACACATGTATGCTGTTGGCCACTGAGCTCCAGAAAGCCACCTCCAGCACTGGGGTTACAGATGAGCCACCATGCCTAGCCCTTACATGGATGCTAGGGATCCAAACTCAGGTCCTCATGCTTGTATGACCGGGACTTACTGACTGAGCCGTCTTCTGAACCCTCGACATATTTTAAGTATTCGTATTAACACAGGCAGCCTGGCAGACTTCTTTCTGCTGAGGTTTGGTTTTGCATCTTGCTCTTTTTGTCTTCTTCAGCTGGAGGCTGTTAGCTCCAGTCGTTTGCAACTCACCATCAGTTCTGTACAGAACATCTCTCGGGCGATCCCCTTGTTCATGAGTGTATTGGTGGCCTTTGTCCTGCCTGTGACCAAATGCCTGATAGAAAAGCATCTTAAGGAAGGGAGGGGGCTCTTTGGCTCACAGTTTAAGGGGAACACAGCCCGTCGTGGCCGGGAAGCTGTGGAAGCAGGAGCCTGAGGTGGATGGGTGGCCATATGGCATCCTCAATCAGGAGGCAAATAGCAGACAGGAAGTGAGGCCTGTCTATCAAACCTTAGGACCCACCCACCCCAGTGACCCAATTGTGTTCTACAACCTTCTAAAACAGTACCACCAACTGGGTACCAAATGTCCAAACACTAGAGCCTGTGGTGGCTTCTCACATTCAAACACAGCAGTGAGTAAGAATTTTTCTCCTGGGTTAAAAAGGCAAAGTGGGCCAGGTAGCGGTGGTGCACACCTTTAATCCCAGCACTCGGAAGGCAGAGGCAGGCAGATCTCTGAGTTTGAGACCAGCCTGGTCTATAATTCTATAATAGCTAGTTGCAGGACAGGCTCCAAAGCTACATAGGGAAGCCCTGTTTTAGAAAACTGAGAGGGAACAAGAGAGAGAGAGAGAGAGAGAGAGAGAGAGAGAGAGAGAGAGAGAGAGAGAGAGAATTGGCTCTCAGGCTAGGGCCATAGCCCATACCTGGCATGTACAAAGGCCCTGGGTTCCCAAAAGAATAAATACATTACAAAAGGCCAACCAAGGCAGCACATGCCTGTAATCCTAGCACATGGGAGGTGGAAGAGGAGGACCAACCTTGGCTACATAGTAAGCTTGAGCCAGCCTGGGCTATCTGAGGCCCTGTCAAAAACAGAAAGAAGGTTCCATCTCTCACCTTTGTGAGCTTATCAGCCAGTCATGATTTCAGGGTCATTCTTCCATTTGCCTTCTGATAACTATATACATGCCTCCCCCCAAAAGTAATTGTTTTGTCTGATAAGTTCTTTGGGGCCTACATAGCATCTCTCCTCTCCCCTCTTTCGTGAGAGGGCCACCCTCACAGTCAGGTGCACAGCAGTCATGCCTTTCACAGGAGACAGGCAGGGGCACAGAGCTAACCACAACCTTCCCTGGGTCACACTGACTTCCTCCATGCTCCAAGAGGTTTCTTCTTAGGTGCCCTCTCCAGTTACAGAGTCCCTGTCTGCCACCTCCTGGCCAAGACCCTGAATGGGAGCTCCGAAGAACTGGTGAGGTGTTTGGCCAAAGGCCACCATCCTGGCCTGGTTCCTCGTGTGTGTGTGTGTGTGTGTGTGTGTGTGTGTGTGTGTGTGTGTGTGTGTATGTGTGTGTGTGTGTGTGTATGTGTGTGTATGTGTGTGTATGTGTATGCATGTGTGTATGTATGTATGTGTGTATGTATGTGTGTGTATCTATGTATGTGTACATGTGTATGTATGTGCGTGCCTCTATGTATGTGTGTGTACGTGTGTGTGTGTGTGTGTGTATGTGTATGCATGTGTGTATATATGTATGTATGTGTATCTATGTATGTGTGTGTACGTGTGTGTGTGTGTGTGTGTATGTGTATGCATGTGTGTATATATGTATGTATGTGTATCTATGTATGTGTGTGTACATGTGTGTGTGTGTGTGTGTGTGTGTGTGAAGCCAAGAAAAGCAGCTGCACTTCCGTCATTTGTTCTTTCCTTTTTTTGTTATTTTGTTTCATTATTTTTTATTTTGTTTTCTTTATGTCAAAAGGGGTTTGTTTTGGGAATAATTTATTTTATAACAGGAATTCTTCATGGATGCATTGTGTACATGTATATGTGTGTGCTGGTACTCATGAACATAGGTATATGTGTACATGGAGCCCTCAGCACAACCCATGCTACTATTACTCACGCACTATTCACCTTGGTTTGAGGCAGGGTCTCTCACTGGCCTAGAGCTCAGCGATTAGGGTGGCTGGCCACAGACACCCACCTGCCTCTGTCTCCCAACACTAGGATTAGAGGTCTGCACACCACACTGGGCTTTTTATCTCCATTCCGAGGCTCAAACTCAGGTCCTCATGGTTGTGTGGCAAGTCCTTCACTTCTGAGCCACATCCCCAGCCCCCCCGGTCCACTTGTCATTTACGGTTTGTTCTAATCTGGTTTCTGTTGCTGTGATAAATTCCATGACAAACACAGTTTGGCTTATGCTTCCAGATTACAGTCACTCTCTGAAGGAAATCAGGGCCGGAACCTGGAGGCAGGAATGGTGACAGAATACTGCTCACTGGATCACTGGCTCATGCCTAGCTAGCTTCTCACACAGCCAGCTGGGACCCACTTGCCTAAGGATGGTGCCTCCCACAGTGGGCGGGGCCTCCACGTGCCAGTCATCAATCAAAACAGTCTCTCCCAGATATGGCCAAAAGCCAATCCAACTGAGACAATTCCTCAACTGAGGTTCCCTCTCTCCAGGTGACTCTAGGTTGTGCCTAGTTGACAATAAAAACTAACTAGCCAGAACACACTTGAAATCCATCGTCACCTGCAAGTGTGACCTATGTTATCTTTATCTTGGAACCCAGACATCAGTTTGTCTGGGGCCTGACAAGAGCTGTGAACAGAGAGAGCAAGTGTAGGAGACTGCAGGGGTTCTTAAAACTCCAGACTGAACTTCTGCTACGTGAAACACCCAAGTCCTTGGGGCCTGGCAGATGCATTTTCTAAAGGCCCAGACGGGGCTTTTGGGACACACAGTTGCTATACAGGGGCAAGTCTCCTCTGTCTTCATGGACTGAAAACACTGTTAGCTTTTATGTAGCTCTGCCCCAAGCACCTCATAAGACAACTTCAAAAAGAAAAGATTTACTTTGTTCACACGTTACAGAGAGTTCGGCCCATGGTTGCTTGGTCCCACACCATTGGACATAACGTCATGGAAGCAGTGGTTTGAGGGGAAAGCTGTTCACATCATGAGGGGGAGAGACGGAGGGAGGACAAAGGGAGGGAAGCGTTCACCAGATGAACCTGTGGGGACAGTTCAGAATCAAGTCAAACATCATTGCTTAAAACAAAATGTAAAAAACATACTTACATCATAAGCCAGATAAAACTGTCCTGGCCGTGCTCAGTGTCCACCGGAATGTCCACCCCTCATCTGGGAGCGGTGACTCGGGGCAGAGCCTTATGTTAGTTACTTTCCTCTTTCATGCCACAAAATCACTGACGAAAAGCCAGGCAGTGGTGGCGCACGCCTTTAATCCCAGTCCTCGAGAAGCAGAGACAGACGGATCTCTGTGAGTTCCAGGACAGCCAGGGCTACACGGAGAAACCTTGTCTTGGAGGGGAAAAATAATCCCTGACAAAAGCAACCTAAGGAAGGAAGGGTTTAGGGTCTATTTGTTCCATGGTCTCTTAGGAGAGGAAGAGCAGAAGGTGCCTGAGGCAGTTGGTCACACTGGGGGACGCCCCTCCCCCTTGACACCCACCCCACCCCCATCACGAAGCAGAGATTTCTCTTTTTTCCTTTTTCTTTGGTCTGGCACCCCAGTCTGAGCAATGGTGCTGTGCACACCCAACTTCGTCTTTCCAACTTGCAATCCTTTCTAGACACATTGTCTTAGGCGCACCCAGAGGTGTATTTCCATGATGATTCTATGTCCAGTCAAATTGACAGTGGAGAGGAAGCATTACTACAGCCAGCCCTGTTACACATAGTGGGGTGGGGGGATGAGCGCACTGGCTGTGGTTTGCAACTTATGCTCGGACAAACTTGCCTCTGTCCTCCCTGCCGTTACTGCTGGTAGCCGGCACTTCGGAGTGGTGTCATTTCTCATATCCGACTCTTCTCTCCCTCCTGGTGTAGACAAGCCATTCTCACCCCAGGCCATGTTCTCAGCCACACAAGCGTTGTGAGCCATTCGGAAGAACATGGACTCCAGCTGCCTTCCAGAGCAAGCAGGGCAGAATGGGGATGTGGGCATGGGCCGAGACCCGAGGCCAAGCTTGAGTTAAACTGTCCCTTCCCTTTCCCACAGGACACTACGACGTCAGTGCGAATCGGCCTGATGATGGAGGAGATGATCTTTAACCTTGCTGACACACACCTGTTCTTCAATGACCTGGAGGTCAGCACACAATGCTCACTTTCACAGTTACTGGGGCAGGGGGTGGCTATCTCTGTTAGAATTTTTTCCCTTTTTTTTTTTTTTTGTTTTGTGTTTTGTTTTTTGTTTCTGTTTTTGTTTTTTTAAGACAGGGTTTCTCTGTGTAGTCCTGGCTGTCCTGGAACTAGCTCTGTAGATCAGGTTGGCCTCAAACTCAGAGATCTGATAGCCTCTGCCTCCTGAGTTCTGGGATTAAAGGCGTGCGCCCCCAGCACTACCTGGCTCCTTTTCTTTTAAAGACTTTATTTATATTTTGTTTATGTATGTTTGTGTGTGCACGAGTGTAGATGCCCTCAGAGGCTAGAAGAGGGCCTGAGACCCTTTAAAGCTGGAGTACAGGCAGTGTCGAGCTGCTCTGATGTGGGTTCTGGGAGCAGACTGTGGGGTTCCCTGAGTGCTCTCCCGTTTCTTTTAGAGACTCAAATCACTAAGGACTTCTGGGAAAATACGGAACTATAGTCGGTGTCCTTTTGAGGGACTACTCTTGTCAGGGTGAGCTTTGTGGCCCTCATCTTTCCCTGCTCCAGTCACGTGGGATGGTGGTTCTGCTAATCCAGTAAAACGATGGCCTCTTCTTCCTTCTGAAATATCTTTATTTAATATGTGCATTAAGGCAGACTAGTGCAGATCCTCTTGAGGCAACAATAATTAGTAGTGGGCCAGGCTGGAAGATTTTCAAAAAAGAATTTACATTCCTTGAACACATGGTTTAGAGAGAGAGAGAGAGAGAGAGAGAGAGAGAGAGAGAGAGAGAGAATACACTTAGTGGGTTTGCTCCTGAGCCCTTAAACCCCTGATCAAGATGTCTAAGGACTAGGCGGGGACAAGGAAGGTGCTGACCTCAGCCACATTCAGTACATGGGGATGTAAGCCACTGCCTGAGCACCCAGTGTTTGTTTTATAACACCTGCCAGCAGGTGTGTTCCTTAGCTGTATTTTAGAATTTAAAAGGCCACTCTTCCCTCTGAGGATAGAAATGCTGACACCCCAGCAGCAATGCTCCACCAGTACCCAGAACCGGGCCTCTCTCCCCAGTTCTCTAGCATGAGGGGCCTTGAAGGTGGCCCTGGAGGTGGGAGGCAGTAGACAGTTAACCAGGAGCATCTCCTAAGGTCAGAAAGTAAGAGCCAGACCTGCTGGGGCACACCTGTAATTTCAGCTCTCAGGAGGCGGGAGCAGGAGGAGTAGGAGTAGGAGGAGAGCAGCCTGGGCTACATAGTGAGGCCAACCTGGGCTGTATAGTGAGTTCAAGGCCATCAGCTGGTACAGAGTGATACTGTCTCAAAAAACAAACGAGGTGTGTGTGGGGGGGGGAGGAAGGTAGAGGAGGCCTTACTCTCTCCAAAGAGCAGATGGAGGTGGGGTGGGGGGGAGCGGGAGGAGAGGAGAGAGAGGGAACTAGGATTGGAATGTAAAAAATAAATTTAAAAAAAAGAAGGAAGGGCATGTAAGGGAAGGAGAGATAGAAAAGAGGGAAAGTGGCGACCACCAATGGGATATGCTTAAGAGGTGGGGACAGGAGGGTCACCAGAACCTGAGGGAGCTCTCAACCCCCAATGAGCCTATGTCAAAGGGACAGGATGAAACTGAAAGGGTCCCCAGCAGCCAAAACTGGGGTAATTTAGTGATAAATAATGAACTATTGAATTCCAACTCAAAGTGGAGAGTAAGCACCCACAGGTCAGTGCTGAAGGAGATAACAACCGTGAATAAGGAGGCGAGGAGGTGGGCACATCTCCCAGGCAGAAAACTCCAAATTCTGTGTGCATGCCTTACAACCTCTACAGGAGCCAGTCTGCTCTGGCCAAGCCAGGGTTGTGAGGGACACAGGCTCCAGCTCCCGGTGGTCTCTGGCCTGCCTGGGCATGCATGTGTGTGGCCCCAGCTCTGTAGCGCTCTTCCTCTGTCCGTGTTGCTCTCTGTCAGAGCGGCATTTTTCTCCCATCCAAGTGCTAATCTGCCTGGCCCTGCTTAGCGTCCCAAACCAGACCAAATCAGGAGCATGCAGGGTGATACAGGCAAAGAAAAAATCGCCCCTGGGTCCAAACTCATCAGAGTCATTTGGTGCGATGATTTCCGAATAAAGACACGTTCACGGACATTGGAGGTTAAGGTTCCAGCTCTGCTTTTTATGTGAATGGGACAGTTCCACCCATAACAGGCCCCAGTGCTCTCTGCTTCATTTTCTCCCATGTAACGTAGGACAATGAGAGATTTTTTCAATCATTAATTCAAAAGCGATGCCCATGCCAATAATCTCTGCCCCTCCTCATGTGTGTGTGTGTATATGTGTACATACGTACATGCATGCCCTTATTTTTTTTTTTTTTCTGTTCTGAGGAACAAAACTAGAGCCTCATAATGCAAACACTCTGTCACTGAGCCACTCCCCAGCCTTTGCTTTGTTGTGGTGGCACTGGGGACTGAACTCAGATCTTAGCGCATGCTGCACAAGAACATCCGGCTGGGCCACACCCCCAGCTCTCGTATTTATTATTACCTTTATCATTAATTTGTTGACCCCAATTAAGTAAGGCTAATCCCTCCACAGCCCTCCACGCCAACCTCAGCTTCTTCCCTGTGGACCTGCTGTTTTCTCCCAGATGTATAAACTTCTACAGTGTTCTTTTCCCGCTTAAGTATTCTATATATTTGTCCTTTTAACATGTAGAGTGTTTTAGTAGGTTACTGTCACCACATGCAGGATTCCACAGTGAATGGGTCCTTCTTAGCCACTTTCCCACAATCCCAGATGCCTTGGAGCCCTTCTGTGAGTAAACTGGAGGACCCGCCCTGGTCTTCTGGGCTATGAGGTTGGAGTCCCCCAAATGGGCATGCCACCGTTCATTGCACTCTGTTCCAGTAGCTGGAGGGGAGGGGTACCCCTCACTGCACCGAGAAGCTGCCATTGTTTGGCTGTTCTCGGCACAGGTTCCCTAACCTGCATCATCTCACCTGTGTCAAGGCCACAGGAACCCTTTGCCTGACTTTACCAGTTGGGCCCACTGAAACAAACCCCTTCCACAGAGTAGTCCCTGCCTCTTTGACCTGATAGACCAGAATTTTCCCACAGGCCCTGGTACTGTGCCTCCCATCCAGCTATGAGTGCTGTTCCACACACCCCGGGTGGGGTGGGGTACACAGCAGAATTAGGGACACCAGTCTTCCTCCACAAAAGCTCAGACAGGTCCCCTGTCCTCTGCACTGTCCAGTGTCCCTGGTGCCACTGGCTTGGAGGGTAACTTGATCCAGGTCAGCTGGTGGAGTATGAGGTAGCGTCTAGCGTGTGTCACGGCATTTTATGAAGTCCGAAATGTGATCGCTACTGTTGTCACACTTCAGGGCCCCCGACGATCTCCTCACAAATGAGGAAAGCAGAGCCTCCTCCTCACATGCCTTTCCCCTGATGTCAGGGAAACCCTGGGAACCTGCCAGGGGAGGAGGGGGCAGGGGGCACTGTCTGACCCCCACAGGACTCCCAGGCCTCAGAGAGGGACATCCTAGGCCAGGTTTGCAGTGCATTGCTTTCTTGTGCCTGGGTCTGTAAAGTCAGCCTTGCATCTTAAATGCAGATCACTAGGTGGCTGGGGATGCTGCTTGGTTGGCAGTGCTCTTGCCTGGAATGCACGAAGCTTGGTTCCTTCCCTGGAACCACATAAACAAACTGTGGTGGCACACGCCTGTACTGTGTTCCCAGACCTCTGGTGGTGGAGGCAGGAGGATTGATAAATAGTTCATCATCCTTGGCTGCATAGTGAGCTAGAGGTCAACTTAGGCTACATAAGACTCTATCTCAGAAGAAAAAAGCAATTCATCAGCATGTCAGGACCCTTCCTGGGACCCTTTCTTATACAGGAGAGCTACGAGGGGAAGACCTCAAACTCAGGTGTCTACAAGAGCCAAATAAACACAGTACGGTCAAGTGAGGCTAAGCCAGATGGAACCACAGGAGAAACTTCAGGCCCTAGGGCACAGCCAAAGTTCAGTTCCAAAAAACATGGTCCTGGAACTCAAAAAGATGTCCCCTTACCGTTGGCAATCATTTCAAAAACTCCCTTGGGAGAGTCTGGACCTATGGCTCAGTTGTCAAGAGCACTGCTTGTTCTTGCCACGGGACTCAGATTCAGTTCCCAGCACCCACACAGAAAACCACACGATCTGTAACTCCAGTTCCAGGGAATCCAGCACCCTCGCAGAGACATACATGCAGGCAAAACACAGATGCACACAAAAACAAAATTAATTAATTAAAGAAAGTAGCAATTCTTTAAAAGAAGAAGAAGAATAGAAGAAGAAGAAGAAGAAGAAGAAGAAGAAGAAGAAGAAGAAGAAGAAGAAGAAGAAGAAGAAGAAGAAGAAGAAGAAGAAGAAGAAGAAAAGAGCCATCCCAACATCAGCCATCAGCCCTTGGCCTTTACATGCATCTGCATGGGTGAGTGCACAAGTGTGCTCGCACATGTGAGTGAGCATGTGCACACAGGCGCGAATGAGTGCACATGTGTGCACTCACACATATGCGCACACATATGCACACGCGTGCACACACACACACACACACACACACACACACACACACACACTTTGCAACACAGAGCGGGCTCTACAGCTAGGCCAGCTTACAAGCTCTTCCTGGAAATGCTCACTAAGCCAGTCCACGAGTCGGATGTTGACTTTATTCCTTTCTCCTAGAGCAGTGCTGTTCATAGAACTTTCTGGGTTGGTAGAAATCTGTGCATCTTGCTTTATGGTGTCCTCAGGTCCATGTGGCTATTAATCCAGGATTAAGGACAGAAGGGAAACTAAGGCACATGGTTTATGGAGCAGAGGGTGACTACAGAGGCTAACACCTGGATGCAGCAGATCTCACTGTGGTGAAAGTTAATTAGCACCCACCTGATGACCAGGTACTGAGACCTGGGGAGCTTTGGGGTCCCCCCAATGCCACATTAGTCATCCCCTTTCATTTGCAAAGCTCACTCAGTTGAGCTGGTCATTTACTTGGTATTTCTCCTCAGGGCCATGTGCTTATTCATGTGGGAACCAGAGAGAAAGCTAAGGCCCTAACCTTTCATGACAAAACCTAGACCGGCCCCCAAGAGTGCCAGCTCCAGTGCTGGCCCACCCTCAGCTTAGGAAACGCACTCTTAAAACCAACGCTAGCCAGACAGCGGTGATGCACGCTTTTAATCCCAGCACTCAGGAAGCAGAGGAAGGCAGAGCTTGAGGCCAACCTGGTCTACAGAGCAAGTTCCAGGAGCCAGGGATAAACAGAGAAACCCTGTCTTAAGCAAACAAACAAACAAGCCGGGCGGTGGTGGCACACACCTTTAATCCTAGCACTCGGGAGGCAGAGGCAGGCGGATCTCTGTGAGTTCGAGACCAGCCTGGTCTACAAGAGCTAGTTCCAGGACAGGACAGCCTCCAAAGTCACAGAGAAACCCTGTCTCGAAAAAAATAAATAAATAAATAAATAAATAAATAAATAAATAAATAAAACCACTAGGCTGGGATGTAGCCAAGTTGGGAGTGTTTGATTAGGAGGCATAAAGCCCTATTGGGAGCATTGCAAAAAGCGGGTGTGGTGGTGCACAGCTATAATCTGGTACTCAGGAACTCAGAAGCTCAAAGTCGTCCTCTGCTAGGTAGCAAGTTCAAGGTCAGCCTAGGCTGCATTAGACCCTGTCTCAAAAAGCAAACCAAAATATCAGCTCCACTTCCGACTAACTGGCACATATTTGTCCTTATCACATTTCCACAAGGACTGCGACCAAATCCACGTGGACGATGTCTCATCTGATGACAATGGCCAGGATTTAAGGTAAGGATTTGGGGAGTCTAGCTAGTCATGGTTGTTCATGCCTTAATTCTAGCACTTGGGAGGCAGAGGCAGGAGGATCTCTGTGAGTCTGAAGCCAGCCTGGTCTACATAATAAGTTCCAGGATAGCTAGGACTATGTCAAGAGATCTTGTCTGAAAAAGAAACAAGGAATTTGGTGAGTCAAAACTCCTTCTCAAGTGCTGGGACATAGCTCAGTGGTACAGTGTTTGCCTACTCTTGAAAAGCTAAGGCAGAAGGCTGGCAAGAACAAAGCCTGCCTGGGCTGCAGAGTAAGTTCAAAGCCAGCCTGGGCAACCTAGCAGACCCTCTCACAGTAAGTTAAAAAGAATAAAGACTAGGGCTATAACTTAGTAGGATGCTTGCTTAGCCCTGGCTTAACCCCACATGTGCTCACAGTAGCCTAGGAGAGAAATGCTCTCATTGTCTGCCCCCCACCACCACTCCTGCTCCAGGCTGAGGAGTTCCCTTCCCACGTAGGGACTACCACAGAAGTCAAACTGAACCTTGGCTTTACCATAGAAAGGACAAGCCAACATGGAATTTTTAAAATTCATTTTAGCGTGTGTGGGTATGTTCATCTGAGCATGCGTGTGTAGAGCTGGATGTCACGTGTCTTTCCTCTTCACTCTCCACCTTGTTTTATTTTTGATATGAGATCTCTCAGTAAATCTTGAGCTTGCTATTTCAGCTAAACTGACTGGCAACCCCCCCCCTCCGCCGCCCCCAGGAGTCTCTGCCTTTGAAGCACCCCTGCCCCCAACACTGAGGTCACAAGCCTCCATGCGATTCATTGTCCATGGATGCTGATGATCCAAACTCAGGTCCTCATGCTTGCCCAGCAGGTGCTCTACCCACTGAGCCATCTTCCCAGCCCCAGATTTTAAGTAGAGTTTGATAGGCAGATGTTTAGAGAAAGAATAAAATTCAAAGGAAAGGTCACTTTAATTGCCCTTATCACGAGATGGGTAGGTAAGTAGATAGATGGTATGTATCGATAATAAGCAATTGATAGCTGATAGATGATAAATGATAGGTAGATACAGAGAGAGATAGTTGAAAGCTGATTGATTTTATAATAATAGAAAGACAACCGGAAGTTGGTGGCGCACGCCTTTAATCCCCAGCACTCAGGAGGCAGAGGCAGGTGGATCTCTGTGAATTCGAGGCCAGCCTGGTCTCCAGAGTGGATTCCAGGACGGCCAAGGCTACACAGAGAAACCCAGTCTCTGGGGCTAGAGAGATGGCTCAGGGGTTAAGAGCACTGGCTGTTCTTCCAGAGGTCTTGAGTTCAATTCCCAGTAACACATGGTGGCTCACAACCATCCATAATGAGATCTGGTGCCCTCTTCTGGTCTGTAGGGATACATGCAGACAGAATACTGTATACATAAAAAAAAGAAACCCAGTCTCAAAAAAACAAAAAAGACAGATTAACAGATTAATTGAGGATTGATAGGTACGCCAATAGATAGTTGATAGCTGAAAAATAGACGGATAGATAGCTGGTAGATAGATGACAGATGGATATATCTAATAGATTAGTTGATTTCTAGATATTAGATGATAGAAAACAAATAGTGACTGAATAATATAAAGATTGATGATTGATGGATTACTGACAGATGATTGATATGTAAGTAGATGGGTAGATGATAGATAATAGATGAAGATAGGTAGATGATCAAGAGATAGATGGCTGACAGATAAGATGATTGATGCATGACAATTGATTGATTCATTCATTCTTTCATTCATTCATTTATTCATTTGATTGCAAAAAGAAGGCCGACAACATCTGTAAGATCCTGTGGCTGACTGAGTTCGTTCAGGAGTATAATTTACAAGGCTTAAAGCTCAAAATTTAAGCAAAGTTTAAAAATTACGTGAAAAAAACATGAGCCAGTTTACTTACTCCTCTTAGCATCAGGAATTCCTTTTGTAAATGAATACACTTGAGGCCTATTGTTTAGATTTAGGGATAAGAGAGGAGTGGCAATATGGTCAAACTCACGCTTGCACACACTCTGGCCCTCAGTAAACACCGCTAACTGGCACTTGGAATTCTATGGGGCAAAGATGGAGCCTTTCTCAAGCTTGGCCACTGAATTCAGGGGCGGAGATAATTCCCCAAAAGAGCTCAGGGGTACAGTCTGATGCCCAAAGACAGAACCCAGGGCTCTGCTCGGCCCCAGCAAGGATGCAGCCTTCTTCAAAATCTAATGAGAAATCCCCCCTCCATATACACACCCAGGCACCCCGAGTGTGTTCAGGGACTCATGGGTGCCCCAAGGCCGACCATGGGCCCAGGGATTTGCGTCTCCCCACACTAATGCCGTCACACTTCTGTCTCTCCAGCACATACAACTTTTCCACTGACGGTTTCCACAGCACGGCACCAGGAGCCAGCTTGTGCCTGGGTACAGGCGTGCACGGTGGCGTGGACTGGATGAGGAAACTAGCTTTCCGCTACCGCCGAGTGAAGGAGATGTACAACACCTACCGCAACAACGTGGGTGGTGAGTGAGCAGCAAGATGGAAGAGATAGGAGAACATGGAAGACTGAACTGGGTGCTCCTGGACCCTGCTGTGGGCCAGGCACTGCTTTGGAAGGTTCTGGAAGGTTTATGACTACAAGAATACCAGTAGGCTGTTTTCTTTGTCTGTGTGTGTGTGTGTGTGTGTGTGTGTGTGTGTGTGTGTGTGTGCGTGCGTGCGCGTGTCGCACACACTGCTTGTGTTCGTGCGTGTGTATACACGTACATGCAGGTACACGCGTACATTTGGGTGTGGAGGCTGATGTCAATGTCTCCCTCAATCACTCTCCACCTAACGTTTTGAGACAGGGTCTCTCACCAAGCCTGGGCTTGCTGTTAGGCTGGGCTAGTTGGTCAGCAAGCCCCAGGGGCCCTCTTGTCTCAGCCTCTCCAAGAACTGGGATTACAGGCTAGTGCTTTTTACATGGTGCTGGGGATCTGAACTCAGGTCTGCATGCTTGCACGGTGAGCACACTAGCTATTGAACCATCTCCCTTGTCCTTGTTGGCTTTTGAGGCACAGCCTCTCTATGCAGCCAGGCTGGCCTTGAACTCACAACAGTCCTTCTTCCTTGGCCTCCCTAATGCTGTGGTTATAAATGACTGCCTTGATGTCACATCTCGTCCCTAAACACGCAGTTTCCATGGAATCCTCTTAACACTACCAAAGCGGACTACATCTTCTCCTAAAAGAATACAGATTCCTGGCCCCACTCCCACCACCCTCCAAGGCTGCTGCTCAGGGTAGGCCATGGTCCCTCCAAGTGAGGTGGTGTGTGCAGTCTGAGGACCAAGTGTTGTCTCTGGAGCAGCCACCTGAAGCTAATTACAAATGCATGACCAGGGCTGCCTCAGGGGACAGGCTGGCATCTTGTTCCAATGAAGTCACCCTCCCACAACACAGGCTGCCTCAACACCAACCATGCGCCACCCTGTCACCCAGGATGGCCCTATGGTATTCCACAAGTCCCAGCCCAGAGACTAAGGAGGCATCAAACACATGATCGTGGCGTTTTAAATCTTAGTGTGAAGCCCTGGGAAGAGGTCCAGGGGTTGAGAGAGAATATGCTGGTAGGACTTGACTGGAGATGTTGGGTAGAGGGCTTGACTGGGTAAAAGATAAGGAAGATAAGAGAACAGGGACTGGGATCTGTGAGGAGTGTGCAAAGGTTCTGAGACAGGCACACACTTTGTACTTCAGTGAATGAGGACAAACCCCGGGGCTGGAATAGAAAGACACCAGAGCCCCGGCAGGGAGGTGAGGCTGGCATCTGTGACAGGATCATCCAGAGACTCTGGACTTTGTTTTAAGGAGGCTGAAAGCTGGCTGAGAAAGACAATTCAGAAACATCCAGGGAGGGCTCCAGAGTCAGCCGCCAGTCCTGTCTCCATTATTTCTTCCCTGTGCTAAGCAAGTGGTCAGCTTTTGCAGGGTCTCTTTTTTTATCTAAAGGACAGAATACAGTTAGCGCCCACCTCTAGGGCTTCAGTGAGGATGAGGAGAAGGAGGTCACATTAAAAGTACTTGTTCGGTGTATAGCAAGTCCCAGCAAAGTTAGTCATTAGCATCTTCTGCTCTGTCTGTGTCCATCTTAGTAGTTCCAGCCTTCAGCTCTGCATATTCAGTGCCTGTCACAATACCAAGCACATAGGAGACAATCTTGAAATAGTGGATAGATGGGTGGGTAGGTAGGTGGATGGGTGGGTGGGTGGAAGGGTGGATGGGTGGATTGGTGGATGGGTGGATTGGTGGGTGGGTGGATTGGTGGGTTAGATGGGTGGATGGATGAGTGAATGGATAGGTTAGTTGGGTGGATGGGTGGATGGATGGGTGGGTTAGATAGGTGGATGGGTGGTTGGGTGGGTAGGTGTTGAATGGATAAATCAGTCAGTGGATGTTCTGAAGATGAAGAAGAATGGCAAAATTGAGTTGACCTTGAGTGATTTGAGCTCCTTTAATTTCCCTCGGTTCTTTCTAACATAAGGACATCCTCTTTATTCCCTTTACTGCAGGCTTGATAGGCGCTCCCAAACGAGAGACGTGGCTGCAGCTGCGTGCCGAGCTGGAGGCCCTGACTGACCTCTGGCTCACCCACTCCCTGAAGGCCCTCAACCTCATCAACTCTCGGCAAGTAGCCACCCCTCATCCATGCATAGTGGTGACATCTCCATTCCCTCACTTGGCAGGACACATGGAGAGGGACTTCCCAACTCTGAGTTGCATGTTTTCCCAGTGTGGGCTAGAGCTTAACTCTTCAAGGCCCAGTGGACACCTGCTGTGAGTAGCTAAGACCTCTTGCCCCTACTGGGCAAGTAGCCTTCCAGTTTCAGAACTTTCAAAAGATTGGAATGGACCCCTGTGTTGTCATGTGGAGCCCAGTCCTCGCCTGTCCACACAGTCCCATACTTGTTCTGTGTCACATGACCTGAAGCCTTGTAGTTAATGAGCTTGCAGTTCTTGCAATAATCCTTGCTTCTAAGGAGGGAAGGAAGCTGGGGCACACCTTTAATCCCAGCACTCAGGAAGCAGAGGCAGGCAGGTGTCTGTGAGTTCCAGGTCAGTCTGGTCTACAAAGCCAGTTCTAGACCAGAGCTACACAGTGAGATCCTGCCTCAAAAACACATAAAGGAATGAATAAGGAAGGAGCCTCCCCACTGCATGCCAAGGCTCGGCAGCCTCAGGCCAGAAGCAGCTACGTTGTCCCCGGTCATCACCCCGCCTGAAGGCCGCCCAGCCAGATCATACAGAACCCTAGATCTCACAGACACCTCCCCCCAAGATCCTGCAGACACCACCCCCAGATTCTGCTCTAACTCACCCATGACACCAGGAATGGCCTGGTTGTGCCTTTGGGTCTGACACAAAGTTGCCTTTGTCCCCAGACCCAACTGTGTCAATGTGTTGGTCACCACCACGCAACTGATCCCTGCACTGGCCAAGGTCCTGCTGTATGGCCTGGGCTCCGTGTTCCCCATTGAGAACATCTACAGTGCCACCAAAACAGGTAGGAGGGGCTGGGATTGGGACATGGAAGGAACCCTCACCCAGAGCCCATAGGACTCTGACCTCAAACAACACTTACAGGCGGCATGGACCTCTGGCCTCCACAGCACCCAAATGGGCAAGTGCACCAATGCATGCCCTCCTGAACATACATGCATACACCACACACACGTACACAAAATCTAGTTAGCTGAGATGGTTCATTTTTATTTATTTTTAAATTGCATTCTTTTATCTCGTGTGATGTATGTGTGTGTTGTATGTACACATGTATGTGTGCTTGGACATGCACATGCCTGTATATGCAGAGGATAGAGAACATCGGGGAGCCTTTCTATCACTTTTCCTCTTAACTCCATTTTAAGACAGATTGTCTCCCCGAACCTGGGCCTGGGCTTATTTGTTTATTTATTTAGGCTGTGCTGGCAGCCAGCAGCCCTGGCTATCCTGTAAGCACACACATATGTGTGCATGCGTGTGTGCGTGCATATGTGTGTGTGTGTGTGTGTGTGTGCCCTCACTCACACTCAAGTGCATGCATGTGTGTATTGGACCATGCCTGGTTTGTTACATAGGTGCTGGGATCTGAACTCAGGTCCTTATACTTACACAGCAAGTATTCTTACCAGCGAAGTCATTTCCCTTCTTTTTAATTTTTCATTGTGGCCACACAATAGTATAATTATTTTCTGTGGTTCTTGGAATTGAACCCAGGGCCTTGCTCACTCTAGGCAAAAGTTCTACCACTGAGCTACATCCCCAGTCCTAGTTTTACCTTTGTATTTTGAGATAGGGGCTCACTAAGTTGACTGCTCTGGCCTTGAACCCACTATTACCCAGGGCCGACTTTAAATTTGGGTTTCTTCTGCCGCAGCCTTTCAAGTAGCTGGAATGGCAAGCCTGTACCACCACACTTGGAGACAGTGTTTTTACCACTGTGCAGTTTGGGTTCGGGTTTGCAATACTAGGAACTGAACTCGGGACAGCAAGTCCTTTGTTAGTGTACATTGCCAAGGTCCAAATGGCAGAACCATAGACAGGGGCCTGCCTTCCACCCTGCGCTGGCTCTTCCTGAGACAAGCTGCTGGAGTTGGCCACCTTCCTGTGAGGCTAATGGCAGTGCTGAGCTTGCTGTGGGATGGATGACAGGGTGGCGGTGGCTGCCCTGGATAGAGGCCACCTACACTGTTCCACCCCTTGTGGGAACTCTGAGCTCAGATCTCCTTCCTTCCTCTCCACTCCTCGCAGGCAAAGAGAGCTGCTTCGAGAGAATCATGCAGAGATTTGGCCGCAAAGCTGTCTACATTGTGATAGGTGACGGAGTGGAAGAAGAACAAGGAGCCAAGAAGGTACCTGAGCTCCTGGGCGGCATGCCTACAGCACCACCACCACCCTTCCCCCCGCTCCACCCCGCCCCACCCCCACTCCCTTGTCCCAGGCTCTGCTCGCCAGGGCTGCTCACATTTGCAGATCCAGGAGCATCCTGAGTAATTTCCTTCCACAAATCCCCCTTATGGTGCTGGCCACTGCCCCTGGCATCCTGGCCCAGTTCTGAGCCCCAGGGACACCGTGGACCAACAGGGCTAGTGCACGTGCGGGCATTTTATTTCACACTCAGGGGCGGCAGGTTCCAAGAATGCATCCCGGCTAATAAAGGCGGCATTAGGCTAATGAAAAAGACAATCCCACATCTGTGATCTCAGCCTCCAGCAGAGCACAGGGGCCTTTTGGAAAAGAAACAGCTGCCCGGACCCTGGATCTGGCCCTGTCAACAGCACCCCAGAGAGCTGCCACCCCCACCCCAAGGCCAGGCAAACTCCGAGTTAATGTCATAAAGCTAATTCAGGGACCTGCCCCCCCCACACACACACACTCCCATTTAACATATCCCAAGGAAATGTAAATGTGTTTAGGGGTCCCTAGGGAGAAAAAGAAGAACCAAGACCCCAGGAGGCCACCTGCTCTTCCCTCCGTGACAGAATGACATCAGTCCTTATACCCTCCCACCTCAGCAAGGTTCCCTAGCCTAGGGCCTACAGCTGCCAAATTATTCTTCCAATTATCCTCGTCCCCTCATGTCATAGAACAGTGGCCTATGATGCTCCAGCCAGTGTGAGGGCTGTGTTAGCCGAGCAAGCGAGTGTCTACTGTATGCTACCCAGCACTCAGCCAGCACACAGACTGGGGACCAGGAAAAGCAGCAATTCATGGCAGGGGTGGCAGAGCTTAGGAGGAAATGAAATAGAGGATGAAAACGGGGGTTAGTGAGGTGAGGGGGAAATTACAGGCCGGCTCAAGTAGCAGTCAAGGCAGGCCTCACTGAGACGTGAACAAAGACAGGACAGCGAGTGGCAGGGAGAAAGGAAGTGAGCTGAAGCTCTGCAGCCTGGAGTTAGCGAGCGGACCAGGGTGCTGCCACAGGGGGTCAAGACAGAGAGGCTGCAGGGAGATCAGGGAGCGGCCCAGATGCCAGAAGGGCTGCAGGCATTATGGGGGGAAAACGGTCTTTTCAAAGTGTATCTGTGTAACTTTAAATTCACCACACAGGTCTGGGGAGTCAGCCTGGCTGATAAAGGGGTGGTCCCTGCTGCGTGAATTTGAGGACCTGAGTTCAGGTCCACTGTACCTGGGGGGAAAGGAGGATCCCAGGCTAGCTGAGCTCTGGATTCAGTGAGAGACCCTGTCTCAAAATAGATAGATAGATAGATAGATAGATAGATAGATAGATAGATAGATAGATAGATCAGGTTGGAAAGCAATAGAGAAAGACAGTTGACATCCTTCACTGGCCCAAGGATACCCTTCCTGGACCGCCAGCAGAGCAGGAAACTTTCACTCATCCTCCAAGACCTGATACAAACCTACACCATGCTCTGGGCCACCCCAGCCCTCTTACTGCCACCCAGAAGCTTCCTCCCTCTGCTTCATGCAAGATGTTTTGCTAACACCTGCCTGAGAACTCTGCTGTGCCCTGAGAGGTTGGGCCTCACTGGGGATGCTGGGCACATAGGGGCTCACTAATGTGCTCTGGGACCCTCCAGGCTGGCTGGGCAACTTGTCTGAACCTGTGTAACGGATGCTTTCTGTCTTAGCACAACATGCCTTTCTGGAGGATATCGTGCCATGCTGACCTGGAGGCCCTGAGGCACGCCCTGGAACTGGAGTATCTATAGCAGTGAGGGTTGCAGCCACCACCTGCCACCCAACACCCAGGCCCCGTCGACTCACTCCATGAGAGCCCTAGACACCAGAACCTGGGTAGGGGTCCTACACCCAGGGGACACATCCCACAGCCACCTCAGAAGTGTCCTCTTCCCTTGGGGACAGTCAGGCTGTTTTGTGAAACCCAGAGACCCAAATGAGGGAGTGTCGGCTCGGGAGGGCACGGGGGCAGCTCATCTTGTTTTCTTTTTTTAATTTATGGACTGATCTCATTATCACATTACATGCTTGTCCCTGGGCTGTGGTTTCTTGGCTGTTAGTCTGGTTTAGGGTTCTATACTGTCTGTGGGGTGGTTCCCAGTTCTGTGCTTCAGGGACAATCTTTCTCTGGACGTTGGTGAGGGAGGCAATGTGGGCTGTGGGGATGCCTCTTGCTGAGTTTTCATTTTCCAAGCCCCTCCCTAATGCCATGTGGACAGTGTGCGTGCCTTATGCCGCCATCTTATTTTGTAGGAAAAGGGGGACCCTGGGAAGGAAGAGGTACTTTGTGATGATGGATAAAGGCATTAAATAAAACCACGTTTACATTTGAAGTTGGAAGATTGTGGTGACTTTTACCCATTGTTTAGAATTCCACATGTTGGCATTTTCAAGTTGCAAATAATAAAACCCAGTTTGAACTTGAACTGGTTCCCGTGAAGTGGGGGAGGGGGCCTCAGCCACAGCACACAGTGCCTGCATCTCGTTGACCAAATCTGAGCCATGTAATGTCCATGAAGCTGGACTTAGGGATGTTGACATTAAAACAAAACACACAGCTCTCAGCTCAAAGAGCATAAGAGACAGTTTGCTCTGCAGCCAAATAAGAGTGGCCACGGCCCAGGGGAACATAGAAGGTTACTCCAAATTCCATTTCCCAACACGGTGACAGTTTCATGCAGTCTCATAACAACAGAACAAAGAAAGTCATAAATTCAGACATCTTAAAAATTACACTGGTGGGAGCATCAGGTGGACAGTTGTGGAAGAGCTAGGTACAGCAGAGCTGGGAATAGCGACCTCTGCTGCCGGCCTCGGGTGCTGTCTGATGATATGCTTAGCTTTCCGGTTGGTAGAAGCCAGGGATCTGTTAATACATCCCATAAGGTTTCAACTGTTGGTCTCAAGGATGTTAGGTCAGACACAGTTGGGTGAGCAAGAAATGGCTGTTTGGGAGGTAAGGAGATCCCAAGGCAAATCGTTACTACGCTCTGGGCCTGCAATACTCCAACCTCTCCACTGTTCAAGGAAGTTCTAAACTTCCTTTAATGAACGCTCCCAATCAGATATTACTTCTTTCCAGGAACTAGAGTTCTCCTGGCTGGATTTGCTCATGAACAGATAGCTGAGGGGTTTGTCCCCCAAAGGAAAGCAAACAGAAATGGTGAGCTATTACCAAGCAAACTGGGGGGAAAGCGACGAGCCGCCAAATGCGCTCCAATAATGCCAATGTCCATCTATTCAGTCATGGGACTTAGCTTTGAAGAGGACAGGAAATGGGTTAATGAGCCAGTGTAAGGGACAGGAAGAGCATCAGAGAGGCGCTGAGGACACTGTGAGCATGTCACTGTGCAGGCCCAAGTCCATCTGACTGACACTAGGCAAAGACACACGGCCTCCTCCAAGAAGGAAAATCCAGGGTCCCTGGAGCCATACTGAAGGAGATGATTGTGTCATGGGAGCCTCAGAGCTAGAAGATCGGCCACCAGAAGGCTTCAGCGAGTGTGAGAGATACTTCCTGGTTAGTCTCTACATTGCGTTAAAGAATATTTCAGTAGACAAAGGAAGGCACGTACAACAGTGGTCCTGTAGAATCACATGCCAAGTATCATAGCATCAGCTGTCAACTTGACACAAATCTGAAGTCACCTGGGAAGGAAGAACCTCAGGGGAAGAATTGTCCAGATCAGAATGGCCTGTGAGCATGTCTGCAAGGCATTTTCTTAATTGCTAATTGATGTAGAAGGGCCCAACCCATGGTGTTAGGTACCAATCCCTAGGCAGGTGGGCCTGGACTATATAAGGCAGGTAGCTGAGCAAGCCAAGGAGAGTAAGCCAGTAAGCTGAGTTCCTCCACAGACTCCACTTCAATTCCTGCCTCTAGGCTTCTGCCTTGACGTCTCTCAATGATGGACTGTGACCTGGAAGTATAAGCCAAATAAACCCTTTCTTTCCTTAAGTTGCTCTCAGTGTTTTACACAGCAGCAGAAAGCAAACTAGGACATCATCATAGCCATGTGATGGTAATCACCTAACAGTAGACGTCCCAGAGTGTCCTGGAGATGGGTGGGTGGGTGATCAGAGAGGGTCATGGTCGTTGGACAAGCGTATGAATGGATGGCTAAGTAGCTGGGTCAGGAGTGGGTACATGTTCAAGTGAATGGATACTTGAGCAATTGGAAGACGGAAGATGGATGGATGGATGGGTACCTATGTTCAGTAATGAGGGGGGTGGCTGGAGAGATCCTGGGTGCATAGATGAACAGAAGGCTGGGTGGAGAGTGGATGAGTGGTTTTTTGGTGAAATGAATGAACAATTGTTTGGGTTAATGGCTAAAAATAATGAGTAGATAATGGGGTGGGGAATGAATGATTAAAAAGTATCTTTGGAAGGTATGTTGGTTACTTTTCTCATTACCATGACAAAACGCATGACAAAAACAACCTAAGGAAAGGAAGGTGTTTTTTTTGTTCACAGGTGGAAGGTACAGTCCATTGTAGAGGGGAAGGCTTGGCAGTAGGAGATGAGAGTGGCTGGTCACACTGCAGTCACAGTCAGGAAGCAGAGAGAGATGAAAGCTGGTGCTCAGCTCACTTTCTCCTTTTCATGGAGTTTAGACCCCCATCCTGTCGCATAGTACCGTCCATATTTATGGTGATTCTTCTGTCTCAGTGAGGGTTTCTATTGCTGTAATAAAACTCCATGACCTTTTAAGGTCACTTGGGGAGGAAAGGATTTATTCCAGCTTACAACTCTCAGGTCTCCATCACTGAGGGAAATCAGAGAAGGAAGTCAAGGCAGGAGCCCAGAAGCAGGAAGTCAAGGCAGGAGCCCAGAAGCAGGAACTGAAGCAGAAGTCATGGAGCAACTCTGCTTACTGGCTTCCTTCTAGTGGTTTACTCAGCCTGCCTTCTTATAGCACCCTAGCACCTGGAACCACCAGTTTAGGGTGCTAAAATGGTGTGGCACCACCCACAGTGAGCTTGAGCCTCCCACATCAATCAAGAAAACATACCACAGGCTTGCCCACAGGCCAGTCTGTGGGGGGATTTTCTCAATTGAAGCTCCCTCTTCTCGAACAACTCTAGCTTGTGTCAGGATGACAAAACAAAACAAAACAAAAAAACAAAACAAAACAATAACAACAACAAAAAAAAACCCTAACCAGGACAAACCTAATCTATGACTAATGGCTGATGGGTTGCTGAGAGCAACGCCATGATCGCTGGGTATATACGGATGTAAGATGGCTCATGGGTCATACATCACACAGACAGGAAGCTAAATGGCAGCAGAGTGTAAGAAGGTGCACAGGCAGCAATGTGGAGTGGAGTGTGTGACGTTCAGACAGACACAAGGACAGTGCAGATAGAATCCCTAACATCTTACTGTCTTGTCCATTTCTCAACACTCTGCCAGCCTGGGTTTCCCCAGGATGAGTGGAAGGGTCTGATTGGCTGAACTGGCTTCCAATAGGGGTGGATAAAGACAAGAGCCAAACCACCCTGGGACTCCCAACCACTCTGGGACTCCACATCACGCACACTCAGGGACACCCCCCCCCCGTACCAACGACCTCACACCCTTCTTGCACTTGAACCACATGCAATTGTGACCTAGTGTCCTTTCTGCTGCCACCACACCTACGCTGAGGGAACTTCTGCTTAGAGTTGAGCATGGAGCACACTCGCATGTATTTTTCTTTTGTCTTTCATTAGAAAAACTCTGAGGGGACCGGAGAGATAGCATGGCAGTTACGAGTGAGTGCTTACTGCTCTTCCAGAGAACCTAAGTTTGGTTCCCAACACCCATACTGGGCAGCCCACAGCTGCCTATAACTCCAGCTCCATGGGATCCGACACCCTTCACGGCCACCTGCACATGCATGGCAGGCACTCTGTACAGACGATCACATCCACATACATAAATATAAAGAAATATTTTAAATTTTAAAAAGAAGCATAGCCAGGTGGTGATGCATACCTTTAATCCCAGCACTCAGGAGACAGAGGCAGGCAGATTTCTGAATTCGAGATCAACCTGGTTTACAGAGCGAATTCCAGGACACTCAGGGCAATACAGAGAAACCCTGTCTCAAAACAACAAGAAAGAAAGAAAGAAAGAAAGAAAGAAAGAAAGAAAGAAAGAAAGAAAGAGAAAGAAAGAAAGAAAGAAAGAAAGAAAGAAAGAAAGAAAGAAAGAAAGAAAGAAAGAAAGAAAGAAAGAAAAAGAAAGTTAAATTTTAGCAATACATACAGGGAAAGCAATACATATAGGGAAGAAGATGCTGCTTGTCTGTTGGGACGGCTCCTGTCAAGCTGGGCTGACAGAGGCTAACAGTCTGCAGTTCTAATGCAAGCATTGGAGTTTGAAGTCTGGTTGACTGGAGGCGGCTGTGGACATGGTGGTATCTTTCTTATCTCTGTGTATGTCAGAGACTGTGGTGCAGAAAGGACCCTTAGGAATGTTTGGGAGGAAGAGGTGGCTGGGTAGCTGGGTGGGTGGATTGATGGATGGGGTGGGTGGGCAGTTAGTTATGTGGATGGATGGATGGATGGATGGATGGATGGATGGATGGACGGACGGATGGATGGATGTGTAGATATAGTTATGGGTGGATTGATGGATGGGTAGCTAGGTGAGTGGTAGACAGACGGATGTGTGGATGACAGATAGATGAAAGGTAGATGAATATAGGTGAGTAGACGAGGCCTGATTAGGCCCCTGTGAAAAGACCAGCTGATGGGATCC